CTGGATGAATGCTATAACTTCTTTCTCCTCAAACGTTCAACACCTCCCCCTTTTCATTTTTAGTTAACAGACTTCCTTCTTATTTAGCAGAAAACATAAAAGTAATCAGAAGAGAACTTCCACTACCAAGCTACCACTGCACCAGCACTTGTATCCATATAATTGCCACAGATAAACCATCCATGCACTACTGTAGCCTGAGGTCAACATACCCATGTACGTCCTAGATCTCATTCTCTCTCACCTATTCAAGGACCTCACTTCTGAACTGTCCCTTCTCTCTCTTTAATCATCAGTTTGTCTCTCTGTACTCCATCATTCCCATCAACTTACAAGCATGCTATAAATTAAAATGTTTGCCCACCTGAAAACAAAAAGGACTCTAACACTCATCCCTGTTCAGCCACAGCCCTATTACTCTGCTTTCCCTTACAACAACCCTTGAAACAAAACCACTATTTTATTTTATATATCTTTATTGATTTTTTAAAGAAAGGAAGGGAGAGAGATAGAGAGCTAGAAACGTAGATGAGAGGGAAACATCGACCAGCTGCCTCTTGCTCACCCCCTACTGGGGATGTGCCCGCAACCAAGGTACATGCCCTTGACCGGAATCGAACCCGGGACTTTTCAGTCCGCAGACCGACACTCTACCACTGAGCCAAACCGGTTTCGGCCAAAACCACTATTACTATCTATACCGACTGTCATCAGTTTCTCTTCTATTTTCTCTTGAAATCACGGCATAAAAACTGTTCTTGTCAAGTCACCACTGACCTCCACATTCCCAAATCTAACAGTCTATACTTAGTCCTCATCAGTATTTATCACTTGGCTTCCCACTGTCCCAGAATCTTCTCCTATCTCAGAGGCAGAAAATAATTTTCCCTCACAAGTTGGAAGATACTGCTACACTTGTCTTTTCTACACGGAATAGCCCAGGGCTTGGATGTTGGTCCTCTTCTCAATCTACATTTACTCTCTGCACCCTATCTAGTCTCAGAGCTTTTTTTTTTTTCTTTTTTCTTTTTTTTCAATTTATTATTTATTTATTTATTTTTAGAGAAACATCGATTGTTGTTCCACTTGTTTATGCATTCATTGATTGCTTCTTGTATGTTCTCTGACCAGAGATTGAACCAGCAGCTTTGATGTATTGGGATGACACCCTAACCAACTGAGCTACCTGGCCAGGGCCTAGTCTCATAGATTTAAAATAAAAATTTGGGAGTCATCAGCATATGGGTGGTATCTCCAGTCCCAATCTCTCTCTTAAATGCCAGACATATATATATCCAACTGCCCACCCAATATTACCACTTGGACATTTATTAGGAACCTCAAAATGAACAAGGCCAAAACTGAACTCTATTTTCTCCACAAACCTGCTCTTATTCCAGTGTGCCCAAATTAATAAATGGCAATTCGTTCTTCCAACATTGAGCCCCAAATCAACTGTGCCCTCTTATACTATTGTACCTTCAGCCCTATTTATTCCTCAGTACTCATTTATTTCCATCCTGTATTATAATTTTCATTGTTTTGCCTCTTTTCAATTACAAAGGAGATCTTTAAGAGTAGGGGCCTGCTTTATTTGCTTGAATCCAGAACACCTAGCACAGTGTATGTTGGGTTATTTGTATAAAACGGCAGTGAAATGAAACAAATCCTGAGCAGGATCAGATCCCTCTACAGAAAAAGATTTTGAAGCATGAAAGCATATTTTATACTGGTTCCTTAGTACAAGTCAAGATAGGTAGTTAATAACAACTTCAAAAGCTTTTTCCTCACTCTACATTTCAAACATCAGTCTCCTGAAAGCTTGCTCTGGGTCCCAGACTGATGGACTAGCCACCACCTAACGTACCAACAGTCACCAAAGATAAGGGAGTGGTAAATTACACACCAGAAGGTATAACGTCATTCCTGGGCACATTTCATTGACCTAAAGCAGTGGTCGGCAAACTCATTAGCCAACAGAGCCAAAATATCAACAGTACAACAACTGAACTTTGAGAGCCAAATTTTTTAAACTACTTCTAACGCCACTTCTTCAAAATAGATCCGCCCAGGCCGTACATTCAAGGGGCCAAAGATTGCATGTGGCTCACGAGCCGAGGCTTGCCGACCACTGACATAAAGGAACTCACAAGGCCATACCCAAACCCAACTTCAAGTAGCCAAGCAAGTACAATAGTTACCACATGTCCACATGGACAGCACTAATGACTACCATATCCTTTAAAAAAAGCTTCTAGTTGTAAGCAAAAGATTTTAACACCTGATTTCTATTCCTTATCTGTGAAAATAGGCATCATCACTTAAACCACACACTTGCAAAATACTATGTATGGGTCTTTAGGAATGTAACTTCACCAGTTAGGCCTGCCCCTGTCAACACTCAGGAGTCAGAGTTGAGCAAAGAAGATAAGTATAGGTGATGGGAAAGTGCTGAGCCCAAATGTTCAATGTCAAAAGTCAGGGGAAGGGTAAATGGGTAAGAAAACCATGTTCAGTTATGCAGAGGTAGAGAATAAAGGGGAACCTTCACCAAATTTCTTTTTATTAATATATATTTGTATTGATTTTTAAAAAATATATTTTATTGATTTTTTACAGAGAGGAAGGGAAAGAGATAGAGAGCTAGGAACGTCGATGAGAGAGAGACATCGACCAGCCGCCTCTTGCACACCCCCTACCGGGGATGTGCCCGCAACCGATGTACATGCCCTTGACCAGAATCAAACCTGGGACCCTTCAGTCTGCAGACCGACGCTCTACCACTGAGCCAAACTGGTTTCGGCTGTATTGATTTTTTTATAGAGAGGAAGGGAGAGTGATAGAGAGTTATAAACACCGATGAGCGAGAAACATTCATTAGCTGCCTCCTGCACGCCCCCCACTGAGGATGTGCCCACAACTAAGGTACCCTTGATCAGAATCAAACCCGGGACTCTTCAGCCTACAGGCTGATGCTCTATCCACTGGGCCAAACCAGTTAGGACTAACAAACAAATTTCTTTCCTCAAAAGTATAAAACGGCCAGGTCTTGGGTTCCTTGCACTACCCCTTGTCCAGAGACCAACAAGTTTCACTCAAACTACTCAGGGGAAGATTGAGTTTGATTAGTAAAGTTAATCAACATTTATCTTTTTAGCATAAAAACAATACTTTTAGCATAAAAACTGCACTCTGCCGTGTTTTTAGAAACAGGGAAGGCAGCATTATTTTAGAGATGGATTTCACTGGGATGCTTCTTTTCCCTCCTGAAAGTCTCAAAAACTCAAGATTCATATGCTTAAGATGATGGGATGAATCCCAAATCTGCAGAGAGCCTGGCTTTAACAGATGGCTGTTCCAAGTTCTAAAGTGCCGTTTCATTCTGTGAAAAATTCAAATACTTTCTAACAGTGTCTGCCAGAAATGTTAAGACCTTAGGGTGGACTGAGATGATTATCATAAGCAGCTAAACATTTGGAACTGTCAAGTCCACAAGGAATTCCATTGAAGGGCAGAGTAGAAGTTCAAACAATCTCACCTGCCAAATTAAAAGCAAACAAGGACTTGCAAATGCAACCATGGGAATCTAACCTCCCCTCCCCACCTATTCATTCAACAAACACGCATTAGTTGCTGGGAAGGAATGCCAGGGAGTAAGAGAGGAACACAATTCAAAGATTTAGTTCTTGCTCTCCATTAGTTTGGCTTATTTTAAAATCACACACACCACAAAACAGATCGGTGAGCAAACCGTTAAAAATACGATGCCGTAATCACGGTAACAAGGATACAGAAAAAGCAGTTCTAACCTACCTTCAAAATCTCCTTTCGAGGGAACAATACCATATTTGCTTTGCTAAGTGGCTAAAACAGAGAAAAAGCAAACCAAAAAAAAAAACCCTCTTCTGGTTTAATGGCAGTTTTGCAGTGCGCCAAAGCCAATTTCTTTCTCCCTTTCTTTCTTCCACCCTCTCTTCCTCCCTCCCTCCCAATGGTCTGTGCCACAACCCCTCCATCATTCCAACCCTCGCATTCCGCAGGCGGTCCCAGGCCAGCTCCGTCGCAAACAATGCCCAGACTATCAAGGTCACAAGGAGCCCAAAGGCACAGGGAGCAGAAATGGAGAATAGATTTTCCTTTTTCCAAAGGGTGCGGGATCCTCCCTAACACCACCGTCCCCAAGGCGAGGCACTCCGGAGTTCTGTCTCCAGGCTCAGGGGTCTGAGGCCCACCGCTTTCGGGGTCCCTGAGCCTCTTTTTTTCCTATCCACCCAGTTAGCTTTCCCTCCAGCGCCCCTGATGACCTCCAACTCCCCCCCCCCCCCAACCTGAGCTCCCCATTTGTGGGGTGAAGGGGCGTCGCGAAGAGGCTGGGGCCGGGGGAGGTGAGGAAATGCGCCATAGGGACGGTGCTGTCAGTGTTTGTGCGCCTGCAGGGGGTGGGGAGGGAGATCCTCTTTATTTAAGGAAGCCTCTGTCAAGGGGAAAAGCACAGAGGAGACTTCCGATTTGGGGGCATTGTACATGAAGCCGTTTCTAGGGAAACCCATTTGGGGTTTCTATAGAGGGGAGTTATTGTGTGTGTGTGTGTGTGTGTGTTTGTGTGTGTGTGTGTGTGTGTGTGTGTGTGTGTGTATGTTGGGGGGGGGTGTTTCTCTAGCGGTTTCTGAGGGCAATCATCTATGGGGCAGGCAAGTGACCCATCCATGGAGAAGGCACTCTGGGGATTCTCCACAGAAAAATCCTGGCGGGGGAGCGTTCTAAGGGGTGAGATGTCACGCTGGGGGGGTCGGTCCTTCCCGAGGGAGCCGTTGTGGGAGGCTCTGCACAGGACACGGTTCCTGGGGAAACGTTCCTCCGAGAGCCGTTTAGGGAAAAGCCATCCGCGTGGGAGCCATGCCCGGCCACACCCCGTGCTTTGAAGCGGCGTCGTCGGACCCCAACCACCCCCGCGATCCCCTGCCGGGCCGCCCGCCCCCTGCAGCCTCGGTCCCGCGTACCTGACGGAGGGCGACCCGCGGCCGAAGCCCCCGGGAGACCACGCGCGGGGCGACCCCAGCCGGTGCGGGGGGTACACGTCCATGGCGGCAGGCGGCGGCGGCAGCGGAGGAGAGCCCGGCCGCTGCGAGGGTCGCACAGGCCCGCGGGGCGGCTCCAGGCCCTCGGCGGCCGGGCGGGGCGCGGGGCGTGCCGGGTGGGCGGGGGGCGCGGCACGCGGGGGCACGTCGGGGGCGGGGGCGGAGTCCGACGCGAGCCGGGAGCTGCGTTGGGGGCGTGGCCACTGGCTGGGCGCGGGGCGGGGCGTAATGCGCAGAGCCGGCGCTGGGGGCAGTGCGGCACCCGCCTTACATTGCGAGCTGGGCGTGCGGGTCGCTGCGGTCGCGGGTCCTCGGGGAGAGGGCTACCACGCTGCCGCGTCTTCAGGCCCCGCGTTAGAGAGCGGGACTCTGCGGGGCCTGCAGCCACGCACAGGGGCGCGCCAGGGGGTGGAGCCTCTCTGAGCCCCGCCCCTCCCCGCCCCGCCCCGTTGAGCGGGCTTGGGCTTCACTCAAAGCTTTCCTTGGCAGCAGCGGGATCCCGGGACAGCATCTCCTTTTTGGCCTGCACGCTTCCCGCTGCTGATCAATTGCACACCCTCCCTTCGAACCCCTAGCCGACCTCAGGTTAGTAAGTGGGCCCTGCTCTGCGCTGGGGATGGGCGTTAGAGGCGGAGAAGGTCACAAAGGATCCCGGTCTTTTTGTGTGCAGATCTTGGCTTGACGCGTTTCCGACTGCAGAGCCGTAATCAAGAAACATAATCCCACCGAGTCTCGGTCGTTTTGTGTGTAAAACAGAGGAAATGACCTCATTGACAGTGTGGCCAGGAGTCCTGTATCTGCAGGGCGTAATGATTTTGCCCTGCATCATGTGTTGACTTTGTCAGGATACCTTAAAAATCCTATATTATTTATTTATTTTTTTGCCGTCAATTACAAAAAATGTTAGAGCTTTTTTCCTCACCAAGGTAATTGGCGCTTAGATCACTTAAATGGAATTCCAGCTGAAATTCCTACCTCTGCAAGTGAAAGATCTGGACAATCCTATGGTGTCTCCAGCAGGTTTAACTGAAGGAGGACCAAAAGAAGGGGCTAGAAATTAAATGTACTTATTTTTCATATTCAAGGAAGGAAACAACTTTTGGCTCAAGTTCAAGAACAAGATGTTTAGAGATAACTTCACATCAGTATACAGACACTGAGAATCAACCAATCAACGACAGCCCCACTACAGTGGCTCTGCTTCTCAAAGTCAGCCAGTCAACAGCTTAGCCCGCTAACTAAGCTTCTGAAAGTTAGTAAATCAATTATGGGCCCCAAGCTTCTGAAAGTTAGCCAATCATCGACAGCTCCATACACCAGCCAATCAGCAAGTGTCTCGGGACCAAGCTTCTGAAAGTGAGCGGGTCCTCACAGTGACCTTACACACACAGTGACCACACTAACAGCGTCAAGTCTGTTCATTGCTGGACTCTCCCCATTCTGCACCCGCCAATTCCTGAACACTAGGCTTCCCCAAGCCCATAAGATCAGTTCTGGTTTTGTTTAGGGAGACTGTGCCTTACAAGTACAGTTTTCTTTTGCTGACCAATGAGAAATTAATCCTTTTTTTTCCCTTTTAATCAGATACTGAGTTCAACATTCCCCCACTCTGTCAAGTTCTAGGTTTGAAACTCTTCCAAGATTCAATTCTCGCCATTATTTTAAAAAAATATATTTTATTGATTTTTTACAGAGAGAGGAAGAGAGAGAGATAGAAAGTTAGAAACATCAATGAGAGAGAATCATCGATCAGCTGCCTCTTGCACACCCCCTACTGAGGATGTGCCACAACCAAGGTATATGCCCTTGACTGGAATCAAACCTGGGACCTTTAATCTGCAGGTCAACACTCTATCCACTGAGCCAAACCGGTTTCGGCTCTCGCCGTTATTTATGAGTTTGGACTTGGGACAAACACAATGTTGAAGCGGTGAGATTTTTAAAAAATATATATTTCATCGATTTTTTACAGAGAGGAAGAGAGGGGATAGAGAGTTAGAAACATCGATAAGAGAATCATCGATCAGCTGCCTCTTAAACACCCCCTACTGGGAATGTGCCAGCAACCAAGGTACATGCCCTTTCAGTCTACAGGTTGACGCTTTATCCACTGAGCCAAACAGGTTTCGGCGCGGTGAGATTTTTTTTAAAGACAACTTTTTCAATTCTTGATACAGCGGCTACTACCTTTTTTTTTTTTCTTCAACTCTATGGATATGTTTTTAGAACATTTTCATCGCCCTTTCAGCAGTCATTCTACCATTTCTTCCCAACCATCCCAGCCTTGTGCAATCACTAGTCTTTCCCTCTACATATGGCTTTTTCTTTTCTAAACATTCCATATAACAGAATTATGCAATATATAGTCCTTTGTGACTTTTTTCATTTAGCATAATTTTTGCAAATTTCATTTACCGGTATGTTGTAGCATATGCTAGAATTTCTTTTTCTTGCCCCAGAATTTCATTTTTTAAGGTTGAATAATATTCCATTGCATGGATGTCTTTCTTTTATTGTTTAAAGTATTACATATGTTTCCCCCCACCCTTCATTGACATTCCCCCACTCACATTCTCTAGGACAAGCTCCCACGTCCCCAGTGTCTATGTCCATTGGTTATGCTAATATGCATGCAAACAAGTCCTTTGGTTGATCTCCCCTTCCCCTGACTTCTCTCTAAGGTTGGACTGTCTGTTCAGAGGTTGTTTTTTTTTTTTTTTTTTTTTTTGTCTCTGGATCTATTTTTGTTCATCAGTATTATGTTATTTATTATATCCCACATATGAGTGAGATCATGTGATATTTATCTTTCTTCGACTGGTTTATTTCACTTAGTATAATGATCTCCAGGTTCACCCATGCTGTTGCAAATGGTAAAAGTTCCTTATTTTTTTTATAGCAGCATAGTATTCCATTGTGTAGATGGATATTTTCTCGTATCCATTTATCAGTTGATAAACATCTGGATTGTTTCCACTTTTTTACTGTTTTTTAGTGAATGCTGCTAGGGGCATTCTCATCCAAGTTTTCGTGTGGACATATATTTTCAGTTATCTTGGTCATTAACATAGGAGTGGAATTACTGGGTCATATGGTAACTTTGTGTTTAATTTTTTTCTTTTTAAAAAAATATATTTTATTGATTTTTTTAAAGAGAGAAAGGGAGAGAGATAGAGAGCTAGAAACATCGATGAGAGAGAAACATCAACCAGTTGCCTTCTGCACCCCCCCCCCCCCCACTGGGGATGTGCCTGCAACGAACATACATGCCCCTGACTGGAATCGAACCTGGGACCTTTCAGTCCGCAGACCGATGCTCTGCCACTGAGCCAAACTGGTTTTGGCTATGTTTAATTTTTTTAGGAACTTCCAAACTGTTTCCCAACATGGCTGTACCATTTACATTACCACCAGCAACATATTCAAGTTCCAGTTTCTCTACATTCTCACCAATACTGATTATCCATCTTTTTTATTATAACCATCCGAATGGGTATGAGTGGTAACTCATTGGTTTTTGTTTGTTTTATTTATACTTTACTTTTATTGATCTATAACATTTATATAAGTTTGAGGTATCCTATCTAATAAAAGGATAGTATGCAAATTAACTCTCACTTCATCACAAAGATGGCATGCCCATAGCCACTAGATGGCGGCACCCAGTCCCCTCAGCCTCGCCAGGGTCCCCCAGTCCTGGGGGGCTGCCGCTGAGAGTGGGCAGCGTGAGCGGCCTAGGGGAATGCTTGCTTCATCACCGTAGCAATGGAGGGTCTTTGGGCAGCGGGCATGGAGTGGCCAGGGCGGGATGCTTGGTTCATCTCCGCAGCAATGCCCCAGCTGCGGAGGGCCTCTGGGGCACAGTGGGGCATGCCCACCTCCCATGGAAGCAGCGAGGCTCCCTCCTGGCGCCCACACTCACTTCCGCCTCCCACGGAAGCTGCATGGCTCCTGGAGAAGCAGCATGGTTCCCGTGGAAGCAGCATGGCTTCTGGCGGCATGCTGCAGTTCCCGGCCTACTGTGCACAATATCGCAAATAGGCTACTAATACATTATAATTTGACTTCTGTATATTATATATTACATCAGGCTCTCACACCATCGTGGTTTTGGTTTTCATTTCTGATACCTAGTGCTGTTAAGCATATTTTCATGTATTTATTATTGTATATCCTTTTAGAGAAATATCTGTCCAGAACTATTGCCCATTTTTATGGGGTTGTCTTTTTATTAAGTTGTAATAGTTCTTTATATATTCCAGGTATAAGTCCCTTGTCAGATACGTGCTTTGCAAAATTTTCTTCCATTCTGTAGGTTGTTTTTTTTCACATTCTTGATTCCTGTGTCCTTTGAAGCACAGCATTTTTCTTTTTCTTTTTGTTAATCCTCCCTAGAGGATATTTTCCCGTTGATCTTTAGAGAGAAGAAGGGAGAGGGAGAGACAGAGAGAGAAACATTGGTGTGAGAGAGACACACTGATTGGTTGCCTCTCATTACACCCTGGCCTGGGGATCAAGCCTATAACTCAGGTACTTTTGGCCCTTGATCAGAATCAAACCTGAAACCCTTCAGTCCGTGGGCCAAGACTCTATCCACTGAGCCAAACCAGCTAGGGCAGCACAGCATTTTAAATCTATTTTTACTTATCTTTTTTTTTTAAAAAAAAAAGATTTATTTGTACACATACCAATGAAGGAAAGCAGCCTTCTGACAAATTGAGAAGATTAAGATTCTTAAGTAGCTGGTTTTGGGACCTACTACACTGGGAAAACTTGATTTGTTGCTTTCAGATGTTGGGTCTATTTACCTAACACTTCAGCAGGCTTTTTCAATGGGTCTTCCTCCTCCTGGGCCTGATTTTCTAATTCCCTATGATACAAGCTGGTGTTGCAGGTGATTTGTGTTGTTCTTCTGTTCATCCAGGCACATTTCCATGAAGCAGAAGATGTGAGAGTCATTGTTGGCAGAAGCTATGGTCTTCACGTCTAACAGGAGCTCGGTTAA